ATGACTAATCTTGTAGTTTTATGACCTAATCTCGTAAAGTTTCAACTTTTTTCTTGTTATGTTGCAGCTTTATTCTAGAAATGTTACGATTTTTAATCTTGTAAAGTTACAAATTTAATCTCGAAACCTTACTCCCTTATTCAGGTTATGCTGTGATTAATCTCGTAATGTTATGACTGAACTCTGCTATGTTATAACTAATCTTGTAATGTTAAGATTTTAAATCTCTTAATGCTATGAATTAAAATAGCAATATTAAACTATCTTTTAATGTTATGGCTTCATTCTCGTATAGCTAGGATTTTATATATGATTTTAGATGATCTTAGTATGTCCCTAATGCCCTGCCGTAGTCACTAAATGAACCCTTTTTAAATAGCGTGTTGGAATCTGATAGCAGATCCCTATGAAGCAGCAGATTTAGACTTCATGGGATTCCTGATAAATTCAAGGCCACTTTTACCCCTAGATTAAATCAACCACTTCGGATGTTATTATCCCAATAAATGGCCGTTATTAGTGGTTATTAGTCCAGTAGAATGGCTTCAGATTGTTCCTCCTACCGGTAGCCTCATTCAACATATTCTCATTATCGGTTCGTATGAAATCGTACGAAAAGTAATGCACAGTATTTCGTACGTTTTTGACGTTTTTCCTCAAAAAAACAGATCAGTGCGCAGGCAGACAGACAAAAAAAGCAGATCCGCGGACGGACGTAAAACTGGGAAAAACTGTGCAATAATTACTTCTTCATGTCTCTAACTACGTCTCTTGCTGTTTTGTATCTTAGGGTTAGGGTCAGTCGTATGTTAAATTCTATGTTATTGAATGGTGCGTAAGATGCGCATGCGCAAGGATATCTTGTCTCGAGGCAAGACGTAAAAATACGACGAAATACCACGAAAAAAACATCCAAAACGTACGAAATTACGGTGCATAACTTTTCGTACGATTTCATACGAACTCATAATGAGAATACACTGCCTCATTAGGTTATTATCACCGAATGAATCCTAATCCTGACCCTAAACTCATTTCTTTTTTACCCACAGAATTAATTAATGTATTTATGTGTAATCTCAATATAATTTTAATAGTTCCTCATCTATTATAAAAAAGATAAACAACCCCTCCCAAATAAAATATCATGTCCTGTCAGCTGTTTTTAACGCCACATTAAATCCATGTGACTGAAACATGTCACTGGAACTAAAGCTTTAAAACGCAGTTTTTTTTAAAGAAGGTAGGCTGTAAATAAAGTAGATAAAAAGTATAAAGTAGGTAAATAGAAAGTGAAACGTAAGATTCTAGATGTGGCTAAAGCGGCTATTATCT